GGTATCACACTCCTTTAAATCCTTCAGAAAAGCATAATACTGTGAGTTCGTGGCTTTTCCCTGCAAAGGCTCTTTCCCAGTATGCCACATTTGTTCAAGGGTAGGGGAATCTTGTTCTTTATTATACTTGTGTGAGTTTGTCCATTACAAATGTTAGGTGCATTGCCCTGCAATTCCCAGAATCAGCCTTTGGCACATTTTAAAGGTTTATGTTGTACTTGCCACCCTCCATTAATTTTGCACTGAGGCCTATTTAAGTGATGTAATGCATGCTGAAGGATGTGGACATTACGTACTGGAATTCTTTTTGGGACCTCTAGTGAAAATCGTATCTTCATGGCAACTTGCTTGAAAGCTCCATTTGCTGACATTTCAATTTAAAGATGATTCCTAAAGTTTATTCTGTTACCAAACAAACAAACAAAAAGTTGTGGAGTAGGAAAGTCTTATATTTAGAATGCAAATAATTAATTTTATTGTTCAAATGTCATCTGATACTGCTATAACAGTTTGATCATCTTTTTTCTCCCAGAAAACTTTCTGCTTCTCATGTGTTTAGAAATAGCTTTCGTATTTATTGTTAGTAAGATTGTCCTCAAAATCAACTTTTACCTTGCCTTCTTATGTTAATACAAGTAACTTTCTATGTTTATGCTGTGTTTTTAATTCAGTTCTGTTTAGGCAGGATTTTCACTTCTGAAAGATGTCTTTACCTCTAATAACATCTTTAATCTTCTGAATAATCATGCCTGGCATATTTGATTCATGGGATTCATCTTGGTTCATAGTATGCATTTACTTTTATTCTCTAACATGACTTCACATTAGTCTTCATGCTGCCCATAATTATTTTATCCTTTTATCATCTTCTTTTAATTTCTCTTTGATGGGCCACTTCTTTTCTGGTACTTTGTTTTCTAAAGCTAAATATTACTATAGTTTTTTGCCTTTTCCTTTTCTCTGGAATAGTAAATCAAAATACATTATAGTCAGTCTCATATGCCTTGTGTCAGGACTCTGGACTCCAAAATTAGGGGGTAAAAAAAAAAAAGCCCTCACAAAAACCCCCAAAACCTGCCAGCTGTAGGGTTCTGACTCAAAGAATTCAGTATGTATTATATCTAAATTTTTATCCTCTGCATCATTTCATGTTGTGTAAATGGGAGCCTGCTGAAATCTCTCATTAGAACTTACTATTATCCTACTGTCTTCCTCTCTAGTTTCATTGTACACTATTAATGTATGGTTCTTAGTAGTTTTCTAGCCTTTTTTTTCAATTTTTTTTTTAAAAAAAAAAACAAACATCATGATGATTCCATATTCTTCTTAGGCAACTGTACTATTGGTCTACAGTCCTTGTTAGAAGAACCTTTTCTAACACTTAACTTGGATTTCTTCTGCAATTGAAACCTTTTTCTTTTCCTCTTATTCATCATACTTTGTTTGCCAAAACCTTTTGAGTTTTTGCAGCCTGCCAGCATGTGTTCCCTAATTTTGTCTTCCTTCTCTTCAAACTCTTTTTTTTAATATAACTTTTTCTTGTCCTCTAGTCATTCGTCTTGCTTTTTTCCAAGTTTCTCTCCTGTTAAGTTTGCATCTTTCTTGAAGTGTAATGCCCCAAATAGGGTGTAAGGCCATCGGAAGTCATGCATGTGGAAAAATGGAAGTCTTCCCACACAAGTCATCTTATACTGGTATACATCTTGTGTATGTGTTCCAGTATGCTTGGGTTTTTTTTCCACAAAATGTGTTTTCTTGGTTTGTGAACCATTCTGCATCTCTAAGATCAGAGCATTCACCTGGAGAAAAGATGGTACCTAGAGAGGACTACTGCTAAAACAGAAGCTTAACAGCATCTTAGTGTTTGATGGCAGCTACTGAGTTTCATATCATGCTAAAATAATGAAATCTTCTAGCGCTATGTTCAGGTGTCAATTGCTTATTGCTAGAGTAAAGAAACAACTTTGAAGGACCTCACAGGGTGACATTTATGGAGAAGCTGAGGAAGTCATTTTTGAGGCAGAACTAGAGCACCTTTTAAACAGTAAAAAGGTGGGAAGGAAATATATGCCTATTTATGTGGATTATCATTAAACATGGAAGTAAACCATTGATATCTGTATCAAACATGATACTTTTACTTAAAAGCATTTTGGAAGCATGTCCAAAATCATACTTCTAAGTCAGAAGTTAATCATCGTTTATGGGCAGATTTGGTCATTTTTCTTCTCTCAGTCTATAAAAGGCTTTTTGCAAAAAAAAAGAAGTTTTAGGTGTTTGATTACTGTGTTGTATTTTTGCTTGATCTTCAGTCAGGTATTTTAAGTTTAGTAGCAGCCTACGGGGAATGTACTATTTGAAGTAAAACAGTTGACTCTCCTGAGGATGGAAACTTGGTGAAGAGTTTGATTATGAGATGCATGAAGAGAAAGGAGAACCATTTGGGTGGGCACAAGAGGCTGCTGTATTTTACTAAGTTTCTGCCCCTGCCCCAACTCATTCCATGGTTCATATCCAGAAGATACTCTTCTCCTGCCTGTATGTTAATGTGTTGGCATGCAGAAACAAGAAGAAAAAAGAAAGTGCAACTGTTGCTAGGATCTAACATTTTGGAGCCTGTCTTCAAAGCCACATAAAGTCTGTTTGTCTGACACGTAGAACACCTTGTGAATTCTGTTCATTTTGGGAAAATAGGCTGCTTAATAATGGCATCCTTTTTGAAATGTCTGTATTTTAAAAAATTTAGTGAAGACACTTAAATCTTGGAATGGATGTTTTAGAAAGGAATTAGATGCTTGTAAGTTGACGTAAGAATCTGGTGTTTACTATTCTGTGCGGTTGCTGAGCAAAGCAGCATTGCTGTTGTAGTGCCTATTGTTTTTAGTGATTTGTCTTTTTGAAAAATCATGTATACAATGAGGTGAAAATTTAGAGACTGGGAATGGAAAAGATGCAGCCATTCCTGTGGAAAATTTCCATCCCTTTTCTTGTCCTAGCAACACAAAGATATTGGGAAGGAGGGACCTGATTCACCTGAAGTCAGCATCTTTTTGGAGACTCAACAGGGGCAGCAGGCCCCTTCACAGTTTTCAGTGAATAATCTAACAAGT